TATAGTGGTATCGGCGACTACAAAGCACGCTATCCAAAACGCCGCGAGGGCCTTCTTAAAGCTCGTTGACAAACTGCCAAAAGGGACTGTCGTATTTTTACAGTCAGTTGCAGCCGAATTGCAGGAGGTTACGGTAGAGGATGCAAGTTGGTGCAACTGTAGACTATCAGAGTTGCTGAATGAACTTTTGGAGAAGACAGGAGACACGATGGAAAACTCCGAGAAAAGAGCAATACACGAGTATGTAAAAAAGAGAATAGGACACAATGGGGAAGCATTTGGGGAGCAATAAGCTTTTGAAAAGGTATTGATGCATTACCAACCAAGGATTATTTTCGGCACTACCGTAATGGTAACTAAATTTGCAGACCAGCTAACTGAAGGGTATTATAAGGTAGCAAAGTTAATCAATGACAAAGCTAGCCTGTTAACAAAACTAAATTATCTAAATCTCCTTCTCCAATTCTCAAAGCTAGAGCAAATATTTCTGACGGGCGACATACAACAACCGCCACCATATTCGGGCAGTTTACCAGAGAGCGTCAAACAAATAGAACACAACAGCTGTCTGGAAAATTTAATAAGCCGTAAGGCAACTATATCAATTAATTTGAGGTACTCATATCGATCGTACCCGACTTTGACCAACATTATTTCGACAGTCCTCTACGACTCTGAACTAGAAGCTGCTCTGTCGAATCAGGATCGAAAGATGTGGAAAAGTTTAGGGTTTCCTGAACTTTACGACAGTACACCAGTTCTATTTCTTGACATACCAGGACAGGAATGTAAAACCCTATTGCGCAGCTGGACTAATGAGCAAAAAAACGAGGCGGCCTTATTAATAGCACAGAAACTTCAAACACGTTTACCGGGAAAGTTAACTACTCTGTGTTATTATAGTTCCGCGCTGCGGGATCTCAAAATTTGCGAACCCAGTCTTTGGTACCACACGGTTGACTTCTATATGGGAAAGGAGACAGATGTCGTCCTCCTTTTAACGACCCGCTCCAACGCCCAGTTAACGGAAGAGGCCAGAAAATTTCTATTTGATAAGAATTGATTAACGGTGGCACTTACGAGAGCAAAGGAGGGCTTTATTATTTTGGGAAACCAAAGGGTGCTGAAACGATCTTCTCTGTGGAGTAATTTATTATTTGAATTATTTAAAAGAATACAAATTGTTTCATTCGATGAATTTGTAGACTATTTGAATCGTTACTGTTTTTTTTCTTTTCTTTTGTTATTATTGTTGTTAGCTTGTTCCTTTCTTTTCTTTGGGCCTCGGGAGTGTCGATGACTTCATTGATACTGACAGGGATACGATAAAGTAGTAAATTTGTAATATTAGTTGTACAAAAAGGAACATAAGTTTTATAATTATTGGTACAATTACACAAAGCCCTGCCGATGGCCAAACTTGTAACAATAGTAAACTCTTTGTTTGTTTATTTTTGGAAGACAAAGAAACAGTTCCTTTTGGAGGGCCAAAACTCCAGAAGGCTTAATAACAAAGAGCTCAAAACTGGGAGAGAATTGTGTCGATCTTGGGGACAAACGATTGTGATTTGTGTTTTTTTTATCACTGTTGTTGTTATTCCGCTTGTTGTGCGACTGTTGTACGAAAGCTGTTTTCTTAATTGAAACTCATAAACTGATTGAACTATTTTGTTTCCGTGCTGGCGAAGCACTATATTAGGTCAGTCTTTAAGGAAAAGTTATTTCTTAAGGAAACTCAATTTCAATCATAAGCTTGTTCAGATTGGTCTATTGCTTAGTCCACGTCTTTTTCTTCTTTGTCTTCTTTCAGTTCACAATTTAAAGTAACTAAAGTTTTTAGTAGCTGAAATAAGGAAGCTCGATATAAGAGAGCGCAAGAGAATAGTAGATAAGAGTAGTAGTACAGTATGATTTTTGTAATAAGAGAGATTAAAGGAGATCTGGTTTAAATAAATTAAGTACCGTAGCAATTATAAGTTTGCTACGACAATAACTTATCGAAGGGAGAAATAACAGTAAGAAGATAAGGTTTAACTAAGCCTTAAGTTAACTGAGATTAAGATTTACTGTAGGGAATATAAATTTATCCCCTACAGTAAAGTTGTTAAATAAGCAAATATGACAGCAAATAACGACTGCGATTGGATTAAACAGTTGCCACTACAACAGAATAACAAATTTTAATACATATTAAGAATATCGCGGCAGTCTGAGTTTTAGAAGCAGAACTTTGGAATGAGCAATTATTGGTAAGTAATGAAGGAATATGTAGTCGAAAATAACTCTACCTCTGAGCGTTTATAAAAGAATAATAGTAAAGAAAATAAAATGAATGAATTACAGGTGACACACAACCATCACTAAATTGTTAGAGTTAATGTTCGGAACTGTCAACGATGATAAATGGATGCAGGGCAGTGCGTGTTGCAGCAGCACACGAAATGACCTTAAACGATTGAATAACGGTTTAACAGGTACCTGTTTCCAAGAAGAAACCTTTGGAGGGTAGATGGGTAGTCACTGCCACCTCTCTGTGTATTTGAAGCAGCAGAGATGACGATCAGAAATCTTTTTGCGGCGAACCAGATCATTTTTGCATACTTGAGAAGACTCGTCGTGATTTCATTTAGGTCTTTTCAGATCTTTATTTCCTACTTTAATAAGTCATGCGTCTAGACAACTTCTAAATCTTCAATTTATTTTAAAATTCAAGTTCTTTGTAAGATGGGCTTTTTTTTTCACTCTCTCTTTTAAAAACTTTATTGTTTGGTTTGTTTATTGGTAACTCGCAATTGTGATTTTATTGATTGAACCGGTGGACAAATGCCTGTTGGTCTCTCCTGTTGTTAGGCCACGTTTTTATAGTACGACTAGATTATTGGACTGATGTCCAGTAATCTTCAATATTTCTGTATTATCAATTTGATTCGCAAGTTTTCCATAGATTGTAATATCTAAAAATATAGACCAGCAAGGAATAAAATGTTGTTTAGTTGTATATCATTGTTGAATTTGTCAACTCAAACAAGGATGCATCACTGGATTGTCGTCGTTGAAGTCACTCATCGTATGCGCGGTGTGGTCAAGTTCTAAGCTTATATTTTTGTAGTGCACGATTCTAAGAGCTAAATTGTTACCTTGAGTGACACTGACAATTGACTGTTTTTACGGCGGAGAAGCATGGAATCGAGCAACTTTTTTGGGTTTAGGAAGGGATGTTGAAAGAGGTTGTTGGATAGTCGGGATAAATTACCTTAGCAAGCGCTTGTCCTCTAGTACATTTATATCGACAACAAGAAATTGACACTGAACGTGGAAGGTGATTACTGAGGGGGCTCAAACAGGGATGAAGATAGACAAAAAAAATTTTTAATGCAGAACCAATTACAGTATTAACCAGCAAAAAATTAGTTCACTTTTATTTGCTGCTTAAAATCGTTGTTATTGAAAATTCCAACATTTTTAACCGTTTGAATTTCATTTTCACTTAATATAGATCCAGTTTTTATAGGTAATGCTGAAACTGCCAAGTAATTACATACACCCTCTCCTTCCCTCTACTAAAATGCTGTAAAATTATCACTTGCGAATTTAAAGAGATTTGAAGAGATGGATTTTTAAAAGAGAACTATCATAATAACGTGGATTCCACTCTTTCACTTATGGTAAATTTTGAGTGAACAGTCAGTTGAAAAGGCTGTTTTAATTAAGCCTATCTCCAAAAATTTTGATGAGGCGATTTTTCGAAGCTGTGGTACATTGCAACGGTAAAAAGGTGTAAAGTTTGTCATTAAATTGAAGAAAAAAATTTGTACGGGTGAAATAAAGTTGAAAGCGGAACTGAAAAATTAAAAACAGTTGCATGTATAGTAAAAATAATGATGAAAAATAAGGCAGAAGTACAATAAAAGACGTAATAAAAAGTCAGGTAATAAGGATAACATAAAAATAAAAAGGAAACAATGAAAAGCTAAGAAAAAGAAAGTTAGATTGAAAGGTAAAAACTAAAATTAGATCTAAAAAAGTGAAGAAGGTCGTATACAAAGTGAAGCATAAAACAGACGACAAAAAAAAAAATGAATAAATGAAGACTATGCTAAAGGTGTGAAGCGTATAGTAAAATTAGAAGAGATGAGAGCTGCAATAAAAAACGTAATGAAGAAAAAAGAAAAATAAGAAAAAAAAGACTGAATAAAAAGAACAGAATAAAAATGAAACAGAAAAACTGATGCGGAAAAGTTTTTTTATTTAATTATTTTTTTTTTTATTTTTATTTTTTTAATTCCACTTTTTTTTTTGTATTTTATGTTTCACTTTTACAACTTTATCTGCATTTTGCTAATTTTATTTTCTAGTCTTTTACATTATTTATATCATTATTATTTTTCTTTAGTACGCTTCACTAATGGTTTTTTTTAACTGTCTATTTTCAATTGTTTTTCATTCTTTAGTTTTTTCTGCTTTATAATTTTTTGGCTGCTTTTTATTTCCCGTCTTCTAATTTTAGTTTTACTTTTTTGTTGTTCCGCTTTTCATTTTTATTCTCTTCAGTCGGTTCTCTTTTGTTTCTCTTTTTTTT